TTTCCGTCCCCCCAGATGCTGGACTGTTTATATAGCAGCGCTTTGTGAATTTAATCACAGATTCAGGGTGAAGAGGCCTGGGCGCTAAGGCTGACACCAGGAGGGAATGTTTTAGCTTAACAAGGAGGTGCCATGAGTCAACCCTGCTGCTGTGTGTGTGTGTGTGTGTGTGTGTGTATTATGACCGGGGGGAAAAAGTGTGTGTATATCATTTCGCCATATTGTGGGTTTTGTTTTTGGGTGGAGGACAAGCCTGTTAACGTTGGTGGTTTAGTTAAATTTAACTTAGTTAGCTTAGCTTAGTTTGGCTAGATTATAGTTTGACATATTGGGAAATACACTCATACACTCCCTTTCTTGTCGAGAGTTAGATGGGAAGATACAGAAATGCTATCTGTCACTTGGTAGCCAGTTAGCTAAATGTATCATCCAGACTGTGAAACAGCTAGCTCGGCTGTCTAAAGGTTAAACAATCTACCTACCAGCACCTCTAAAGATATAATTAGAACGATATATCTTGTTTGCTGAAGATACTTTATTATGTATCTTCTGGTTGAAAACAAGTCTTCAGGAAGTTACTGTTATTAGCCAAGATATAATCCGTTACACAATCCCCATCAAAATTTCAAAGTGTGGTTTTTACATTGTATAGATTAAACAAAATCTAATGTGTTAATTAGAGAGCTTTAGAGGTATTGGTAGGTGGACTTTTTAACTGTTAGAAAGAGCCACACTACCTGTTTGCTTCTGTTTCCAGTCTTTGTGCTAAGCTAACCAGCTGCTGGTGTTAGCTTTATAAGGGAGACCTGCACACGCGAGAGTGGTATTCTTCTCATCTACCTTAGAAAGCAATGTGTTGAACTGCTGCTTCAAATGATTAAACAACCAGAAGAAAAACAAAAAATAAAAGATTGTGCAATTGTGTATTAAAAAACACATGGACTCATTAATATGCCTCTCTCAAAAGAGGGGGGGGGGGACAGAATTGCAGCCAAAGACGCAATTAGGCTTGATATAAGAAGCCAAATGTCAACACAACTCAAAGAGTGTGTGTGTGTGTGTGTGTGTGTGTGTGTGTGTGAGAGAAAGACACCCAAGTCTTAATTTGAAATTGCTGACAGATGGAGAGTCGTTGGTCATGTGGATGTAACTTTTTATACAGCTGAGATCATCTGTGATTTGATGGAGGAGACCAGAATCTGGGAAACATGTAGTTACTTAAATGGCTTTGGCTGCAAGTATGAATTGCAGCAAAGACTGAATTAATTTAGGTCCTGAGCACTGTCATAAATATGTTTTCATATTCTTTATATTAATATCAAAGGATGGCAGTTTTCTCCTCCTTCATGCTAAACACAAAGAGCTTATATTCACATGTCTCTGTCTCCTCAACAGCTGAGGCTTTAGCTCCCAACAGGCCTAATTTCTTTCTCCCCTGAGAAGGATCCTCAAAACACTCCTCCTCCTTGTTCCCTTTTCTCATGCCCAGAAGGCAGATCCTCGTGTCTTATTCCTCTTAACAATACCCCCACACACACCGGCTCCTGCCATTTAGGAAGGTTAACAGTTTGTAACAGTGTGCCTCCTCCGTACGGACTCACAGACGAAGCTTTTGTCCTGTCTTGGTATGTGTGTGTGTGTGTGTGTGTGTGTGCAGGCATATATGTGCATTCCTCTTTCTCATGGCTCCTGCTAATGTGTAGCAGATGATTTAAGGCCAGATCCACTAGACTGACTGAAAGTTATAATGATGAATGTAACGCAAATGTTGGGCAGGATTTGCAGCTTTTCATTTGCGCTTGTTAAGTAAATTTGGATATATTTTTGATTTGTGGACTGTTAGTCATACAAAACAAGCAATTTAAAGAAGTCATCTTGGGTTCTGGGAAGTGAAAAATTGTGATTTTTCACTTCCCAGAAAAAAAATTTTTTGTACATTTCAATCAATTAAGAAAAATTGCCAGATTATTTGATAATGAAAATAAATATTAGTTGTAGCCCTACTTATAAAAACTGACCTGTTCAGCAGAAAACAAGTCATGTTCAGTTTTTTTGGTATCTTGTGATGTATCTTTTGTAGGAAAATATTTTTAGGTACATTTTAGGACTATGAGATGTTCAAAAACATGCAATGTGTATATATTTTCACACGACATGTCTATGTAAATTACCATATTTTGGTTTATCATGATAAAACACAACCTTTCTTTGTTAAACATTCACACCAACCAGATCTATTTTACCTTTTAAACCTGTCAATCATGACCGTTTTAGGAACGTCTTTGAGTCAGTAAGAACTCTGTTGTTGCATGACAAACACGCTGTATATTCACCTTCAACCTGTTTTCTTTGTTGTTGTTCTTCATGTTCTTATCTGTATTCTCTTCAATCGAAGCAGCACAGGATCGGTTTCCCCTCAGGAACTTTCATCTAACCCTCAGAGTGCTTAAAAATCTTTCAGTAACCTCATGTATTGAAGTGGCATCTCCTCTTCCTCTGTGGTTAGATTACACCGTGATGCGAGGTATGGGGACCTCCGGGAACGTGGAGTACCGCTGCTGGCCGTCCTACAGCCAGCTGGGCTGTGTGCTGTCGGTCCACAGTGCCAGAGAGGCAGCGTACATCTGTAACTCCCATTCTCAGTGCAACAGCTTCACTCTGACTGGACAGAAGACGTGGACAGGTTAGTAAAGACACATTAACTCCTCCTTTCTTTTCCTGTGTCACATTGCTGTTGTTGTGCATGGTTTTTCCAGCAAACTCATTAGATAAAATAAATGAACCTGGTGCAGAAATACTGAAAATGTCTCTATAATTACCCAGTAAATCATGCCTGTCACATGACTAAGACTGCTGAGTAAACATACACAGCCGCTACTCCTTTAATCTCTTTATGAAGCTTTTGAATGTTGAAATGTATACAGTTATTAAGGCTATCATGTCAAAACGTGTTACTTTATTGACATTGCAGGTGTGTTTAACATAGCTCTTTTCCTCTTTTCTTTTTTTTAAACCCCCCCCCCCCCTTTTTGCACTTTACAGGTCGCCTTCTGGCCTCCTTCAGGAGCAGCTTCAGTCATCTGGTGCCTGATGGGATGTCAGAGGTGTACGTGAAGAAAACCAAAGCTCCTGAAACCTCCACATTGTGACACTAGGAACAAACAGAACGATCCCGTTTCAGGCTGGCGGGAGTCATTACGGAGGCGGGATGAGAGATAACGGGCAGTCTGCGATGTGAAGCAAAGCAAAATGTTGCGCTTAAGATGAGATCCTGCTCGTGAACATGTTGAACGAAAGTCGGCTCTGCGGATTATGCAGGAGGGAGCGTAGAGGCTGGGCTGAGGAGGAGGCGTTTGAAGTGAGGCAAGTGAATGTGATGTATTTATAGGGCTTCTGCTCAGTGACTGTTTGATCTGCCTGCCAGCTCACTGCCTCTGCCAACTACTATTTAAAGGGATTTCCCTTCAGGTACAATTAAGGAGGGGAGAGCCTTGTGCCCTCAACATGTTTTTTTTGTTGTTTTTTTTCCTACCATGTCTTTATTTGCCATGTGTGTTGGCTTTCGTTTGTGAGGCCAGGTCCCCATAGTTGGATTTTTAAGCCAAAGAGGTAATAAGAACAGCCACTGCAGCTCAACATTTGAAGCCTGAGGACGAGAAAAGAAAACAAGCTCTTACACAAATACACTTTGATGTTAATGCGCTGAGGTTGCGGCTGTTTTTTCATGGTTCCCTGGCTTAGCTGCACTGTGGTATGCGATGGAAACAACCATGTAAGCATTTACACATCAACAATGAGCAAAGATGATTAAAACCATTCCAGATCAGTCTGTGTATACATACTTTTGTAAACTTAGTTTATAGTGCTTAGTTCATAAATATTTAAATGATCGAATGAAATGTAATTGTTCTTACATGATTGTGCATTATAGCTTACGTGCACCTTGTGGGTGAAACTTTTATTTTCAATGAAAAATTATTGACTTCAGTGTTTTCTTTTATACTTCACTTATTGTAATTGTACAGTTTGACAATTTTGTAATTATATAAATGTGTTGTTTCTACTTTTTGTTGTTGTGGTCATTTACATCTTTTATTGTATTAAGTCTAACTGTAACTTACAGCCTGATTATTTCTCATTAGCACCTTTGTGTGTGTGTGAGAGAGACTTTGTGTGTGTCAGTGGGGGAGGTGAAACTTGCACGTGTATACTGACGTGGTTTTATGCGTGTTTTAAATCCTTTATCTTCTCGCGTACCCCCACAACTACAATCTATAGTCCATCTGAATGGCTGAGAACTCAAACCTAGGGAGCTCCGCAGAGTTTGCACAATACCAGAGGAATGCATTCAAATGCCCCGTCATGCTGGGCTCATTATGAGCCTTAATTAATACATGTAAATTAGCTTACTTACCAACCCTTTCTCATGGTGAGAGAGGGGGCATTACTGTAAGACAAAGGCAGTCATCAGGACAATCAGTGCTCAATCTGTGGTTTGCACACGAATGGGCTTGCCATCTGTGCATGCCAGGAGGAACCGGGTGAGGTTGAGATAAGGTTAGAACTGCAGGGTGGCAGGCTGAAGAATCTGTAAAGTCATGACTTGTTGCAGCCACATAGTCTCTGGTGGGAGAAAAAGAGCAGACCAAATACCAGTGATGTCTTGATATGAACCAGAGACTTTTGTAACCTTTAATCCCCCATCCCTGTTGCTGTTAAAAAGGGAAAAAAACTTTAATCTTGATTTTAAAAACATCTATGTAAATATATTAAGAATCAATAAAAACATTTTATTTCAGAAAAAATCAAGGATCCAAACAAAACTACAATTTACTCCAGATTTCCATGTAGTGAGTCCTTCACCACTACATACCACTACCACTGAAACTCACTTGAAAGGCCACGTCCTGTCAACAAATTACACTTTCATAGCAGAGACGACGGGGGAGGCCTCAGGGTCTTCTTTACCTCATGTTGGCCCCTTGTTGTCTGGACAAAGCTGGCTGATTAGAGTCTGATTTAGAAGATAAGGAGTCTGTCTCAGATTAGATAAAACCAAACCAAGACACTGGACCAACGCAGCAGGACTGACTAGAATTACTAGTTGGAGGGTTGGCAAATAATCCCCCACAAGAGTGTGTTTTATCTGTGCTACAGTAAATAGACTTTAAACCTGACTGAAAGAACTGCAGATAGCTAAAAAATCTTGAGCACAAATATAAATTTAGGATTAATTAAATGAATATTAGCTTGGCACAAGGGCTGGACAGTTCCTTCAGTTTACTTTAGTTTTTTAGACAGCTACAGCAGTTTTGTGAAAACCGCTTATTTATCTTCTTGCCAAGAGCTGGATGAAAGGCTGAATAGCACTTTCATACAGCATCTGTCTGTTAAATTCACAGCTATAGTGGGCAGCAAGTTAGCTTAACCTAACACAAAGATTGGAAATGGGGAAACAACTAGCCTTCCTCTGTCTAAAAGTAACGTAGTTTTAGAAGGACGTTTCCCCCACCCACCGTAAAATGTCATTAAACAGTTTTTGTATGACTTAAACAAGTAAGATGTGTGTTAATGTGTTAATCTGTGAGTTTTAGAGGTGCTGGTAGGTGGATTTTGTGACCTCTGGACAGAGCTAGGATAGCTTTCCCCCCGTTTTCAGTCTTTGTACTAAGCTAAGCTAACCAGCTGCCTTTGGACAGAGCCAGGCTCGCTGTTTCCCCGTTTCAGGTCTTTGTACTTCTATAAGTTAACTGGCTGCATTTGGACAGAGCCAGGCAACCTGTTTCCCCGTTTCCAGTCTTTGTACTGAGCTAAGCTAACCAGCTGCATTTGGACAGAGCCAGGCTCGCTGTTTACCCCTGTTTCCAGTCTTTGTGATAAGCTAAGCTAAGCAGCTGCTGGTCATCTTCACGTTACAAACATGAGAGGGTTATCAATCTTCTGTTTCCCACAATGTCTAACTATTCAACATAGATGAACAATTATACCTCAAGAATTTTGAAAAACAACAAAGTAGCTGGCTGATAGATGAATGGTTGACTCTTAAAAGAGGGAGACAGACTCAGTAAACTGGTTACAATTTTAACTTTTAATGCCTTTACTCACAAAACAAGGTATTCACATTGATAATACAGAGGACACCCCTGAAATATCTCCCTTTTATGTTTGAATTTATTCAAACTCACAGCTGCGGTTCATTTTCCTACGTCATCTCGTAGAAGAAAATGTCTGGCGTCTGACTGGGTTTGTCTTGGCACTCCTTTTGACAGAGTTAATGGATGTTCTGGCTTTGACCGTAGCTTGTTTTATGGTCAAATGTTTTGAGACACATCACAAATGCAAAGCGGTGATAGATTCATTAGGTTACTCAGTTGAATGTAGTGTATATTCACAGCGTAACAATGCGTCCTTCTTCATGTACAGCTTTGTTGGTGAATCAGCACAACGTTCTGTGGTTGTTTCAGAGGTCTTCACAGCATAGTTTTTGTATTCTCAGTTGAAAGTATTCTCTTTCTTCCCCTGACTTTGTATATTTAGTTGGAAATATGTGTGGAGGTATGAAGGTTGAGCTGCTCTAGGCTTTGTTTGTTTTGTTATGAAAGTCATTTTTTGTTTAGGGATGTTTTCATATTTGCATCGTTGTGAAACATGTGGTACTGCTGTCCACATGTTCATGTGTGGTATACTGTTCCTCTGTTTTTTAACCGTGTAATTGACAAGTTGCTCTTTCTAAAGGTTCAGGGAATGAGCGGGGGAGGAGAAAGATTGTTTTTTTTTACTCAGCTCCATACCCCTCCATTCCTGTTTTTTTAAGTTTCCAGTTTCACCCGACTTGTTTCCGTCAGGTTTTATTCATGACCTCCATCTGGAAATAATATATGTTCATGAAAACAAGCCATCAGCAATTTTAGGGAAGAGTGTGTGTGTGTGTGTGTGTGTGTGTGTGTGTGTGTGTGTGTGTGTGTGTGTGTGTGTGCATGTGTGTGTGTGCGTGTGTTTGTGTGTGTGCAAGGAGGGGGACATTAGTGCCTCTTCTGTGGGGTTCAGGCTCCACCAGTGTAACACTGTTAGTGCAGTGAGAAAGACGTGTATGACTAAGTTAAGAACCAAAGCCTCCATCATCATCTCTTAAAATCCTGCTGCAATGCATTTGTGGTCTGGCTAAAGTCTTTGATTCATATGTAAAGTTAGTCATCAAATGTAAGAAACCGCAGCTGCTGGGAGAAATTACGTGTCAGGCAAGTCTTTGGCAAAATGTTTGACCTTGGCTCAGCCTAAAAATATGCATTAACTCTAAGTGAAAGCCTGCATAGTTCTTCAGGAAAGAAGATCTGGCTTGTGTTTGACTTGCTCACAGGAGCATGTGCAGGCTGTGACGGTAGAGATAGAGCAGATATTCACTCGACTCCAGGCTCACAGAACACCTCTGTGCCTGTCTGCCACCTTGGCTGCGGTACACAAGAGACCAGCCGGTCACACCTGAGAGCCTCTGAAGAGTAGCCAGACATTTAGCTAGCCTGTCCTGAGCACAGAGGCGTCTTAGTTTGCGGGGTGCTGTCTGTATATCTAACTGTCTAACTAACTATTTGTCTGTCTGCCTGGAGCCGATACAATCTCTTTTAGAGCCATAATGGCTTTAGCAGGCCCTGAAGGAGAGAGCAAGTAGGTGTGTGTGAGGAGAGGTTTTCATTTCTGCCTGTCTGTGTTGGGGGGGGGGGATCATGTTTTAAAAGCCCTGAAGTTAACCCCAGTCAAAAGGTTTATGCCGACCACTAAAGCCACAGAGGCATCTTGAAAGGTGTAATAGCTCAGCATTGTATCCGGTGACATCTCCATGGACCCACTGCATAGTTTCCCAGTGTACAGCTAAAATGATTGCTGCAGTGCTGTACACTATGCCTCAAAATGGAGTATTAAAAAAACAGATTCAGAGCCAGCTTTTAAGCAAAACTCTGAAATAGTTTATTTATTTAATTTTTTATCTTCACTGAATGTCTGTGTTTGGGGGGCCTCACTATGGTGTTGTAAACCCCTTTTTGGTTATGAGATCCTGCATTCCCTCTCTCTACGTCACAGCAGCATTCTGGGTCATTTTTCTTTTGAAGCCCCCCCACCTCTCTTCCTCACCAGTCCATCCATCATATGGAGTCTCTGGAACCTCCTTTCACCCCACCCGTCCTCCTCTGTTGCTGCCCTCCCTCTCTGTTTGAAATGCTCCTTCAGGCCAAAACCTCCATAGCTTTACTATTAATTTAGGCCTCCACCGCTGCTGTTAAATTGTTCCACTCCATACATAACTTTAACCCTCCATCAGCGTCCTCCTCCTGCCAGTCTTCAACGGCTCCCTTCTTCTTCCAAGTAACAGCCCACAACTGCTGTGAAGCATCTGGAGTTTCCCCCCATCTTTCAACCGGCTGAGACCTGAGGGCAGGACTGCTGTGGATCAGGAACAGCGGTTAGTGTGTGTGTGTGTCTGTGTGTGTTGCTGACTAAAACTGCTGTTCAAATCAAAGTGCCTGCCTTTTGTTGCGTGCTCTGGAATCCCCTCCGTCACACCTCGGCCGTTTCTCAGCAGGAGGACTACTGGCCCCAGCCAGAGGAAGACTTCCTTCTTTACAGTTAATCCTCTACCATAAATACACCATGGCCCCCCCTCTGAGTCAATTAAATGAATTCCTACATTCAGTACTTTTAATTCGATAAGGTTAACCAATTTATTCAAGCACACAAACAACTTTAGCCCTCATTTTGTATATAAAATTTGTAATGAACAGTATCCTCATAGTAATCTTGTTAATCCAGAAACTTTAACTACTGAGCTTGTTTTATTTTTTTGTGATGCAGAGGAGGAAGAAAGTCCTTTATCACAGTCCTCTGCTATTTGGTGCACAGTTTGTTCATACTTTTGTATCTACACATACATTATGCAACTTGAAATCATAAACATGTGTATGATCACTGTTTCTTATGGCATTTTATGTGTTACAAGATGTCTGATCCGATGTGGAGTGGGGCAAAATATTTGGAAATAAGCATTAACCAAGTAACTAACGATACACTGAA